GCAAATATTCCGGCAAACCCGTACTCCTTTCTTCTAAGCTCCTGCTTGTCCGATCGATCTGCGAGCACAACGGCGGTGAGCTACCCGGCGGTGTGTGGCCGGAATACCCCTTCGACGATCAAGTTAGACACACACAAGGATAGAGAGAGAGAGAGAGGATTGAGTGTCTAGTATAAATCTCACCAAATGTTCATCTGCCTCAGTGTGGGGGGCGCGGACTCGCTTATATACCTTTTGCGCCCCAAATCTACTCTCATTAGTCTCTCGACACGTGGTGCTGCTATCCCATCTGTCAACACAAATTTAGCTGAACATCACCTAACTGCCAGCCCACACCACTGGGAGCTCGGTAGCCGGGCTGCAGCATCTCGGCTGTCAACGGCCGTGCTGCGCAGCTAGCCAAAGCGCTCCGCCCGCCAAGCTCTATGACGACCGAGCTCGGTTGCATTCCGGCTTAGCCGAGCTCGGGATAAGTCATGCTGGTTAGCCGTCGGCCTTCCTGCCGAGCTAACACATGAACCGTGGAACCCAGTGAGGCAGCGGACATCTCGGCCGAACCTCACTTGACCACTAGTACGACATCAATTATGCAACTATGCCATTACCGAGCAAGTAGCTCGGTTTCACAGCAACTGTGCCATTACCGAGCGAAAATCCTTTCTGGATGGACCCAGGCTGCCACGGCCCAAATGTGTTCGGCCCACAATTTGTCCAGCCCTTACCACGGGCCAATCCAAATCATAAATCTCCCTCAAGTCATGTTGACAGCTCAGTCTTTATTTTTATTGGGGAAATAAAAAAAGATATATGATTTAATACACACAGATATAACGTATCATCAAAATTTAAAGATTGAAAGTTTACAAATGGGTCATTATGAATTTTATGATCTAGACAAATTTTGAATTTAATATAAAAATTTGATGTTATGACTCATTTAATAGCTATTGAATTTCTAATTTTCTCAATTTCAACCAAAAATAAAAGAGGAGTCATATTTGCAAAATAAATACTTTAAAATGACAAATGTTAGATGTCATTAATTTTTTTTATTTTTTATTTTTATCACAATTTAATATCACCATCTACATGCAGGATTGCAAATGATTACTTTCTTTTTTTAAAATAATAATTAAAAAATAACAATGAAGGTGAATAATATCCTCCTATATATCATAGTAATATAATTTTTTTAAAAAAAATAATATATAACAGTTTTAAAATGTCTACTCACCCAGAATTTGTGTCCACAAATCTATTAGGAAAGAGAATGTAAGGATTAGATTTAAGTTGGTGTTTTGTAGGTTGAAACTAATGTATCTCAATCACCCACTAATTTTTTTAAGTAAAATTTTAAGCCTTCATTTGGCATGTTAGGTTTTTTTAATTTTTTGGTTATTTTAGTTACAAAAAGAAAAAATAGATTTTTTAACCCAATAGAACAAAACATTATATCCAATCCATAATCATTAAAAAAAATTTCTCACAAAAGTTAAAAAAGTCAAAAAGCCTATCCCAAACGAAGTTTTTTAGCTCCAAGTTAAAATAGCCAAAAAAACCAACCCACACCCCAAATGAATTCTAAATAAAATTTATAAATTTATAGTATTACGGTAAAAATTTTCTTTAAAAAAAACTGATTTCTACTCCCCACTAATTTGTAAAATTTGCAATGCTGAAATGATCAAAATTAAAAGCTTGTAATTTTATGAGCAATGAATAGGAAGGGAAAAAAGAACATCAATTTTATGATCCAGACAAATTGACTCATTTAATATAACATATCATCAAAATTTAGGGTAGGGAAGCCGGTTGTAGGCTAATTTAGCCAAAACACGACAAAATTGGCTAAATTAGCCACAAGGCGACAAAATATGAATCAGCCTCCATTTGAATGGTAGCTCACATACAACAAGGGGTTAAATTACCAAAATGCCCCATGTTGGAAATGTTGAACCAATTAGCCACAACCGTCCACGTGTCTTACTCAGCTGCACTAAAGTATAACCTCAACCAGCCAAGTCATGTCAACAGCAAAAAGGAAAACGTTTTTTTAATATTTTTAAATATTTTAATTTCAAAATATTACAATTTGAATTTTTTAAATTTTAAAATTTTTTATAAAAAAAATTCAAACTCTATTTTATAAAAATATTTTTAAATATTTTAATTTTTTTGTTAGGTATTTGGTTATGATTTGAGTGTAGAGTTATGAAAGTAGTATGGAGTTTCAAATTATGTGTTTGGTTATGAGTTTTAAAAATAATTTTTTAATTAAGTTTTGTTTTATGTGTTTAGTTACGATTTGAGTGTAGAGTTGTTTTTAAATTTAAAATATTAACATTTTAAATTATTTAAATTTTTTGAATATTTAAATTATTTAAATTTTTTTGTTAAAATAATTTTTTGAATATTTAAATTATTTAAATTTTTTTGTTAAAATAATTTTTTGAATATTTAAATTATTTAAATTTTTTTGTTAAAATAATTTTTTGAATATTTAAATTATTTAAATTTTTTTGTTAAAATAATTTTTTGAATATTTAAATTATTTAAATTTTTTTGTTAAAATAATTTTTTGAATATTTAAATTATTTAAATTTTTACGCTTTAAATTTTTTGAATATTTATTTTAAATTTTTGCTTATTAAATTTTTTAGATCATTTACATTATTTAAATATTTACAATAAAAATAAAATTAAAATAAAAATTAAATTAAAATTAAAATTAAAATTAAAATTAAAATTAAATATTTAAAATTAAATTATTTAAATTACACAGGACAATAAAATAAAACCTCACTTTTTATCATTTCACAGAAAATAAAAAAAAATAAAAAAAATTAAACAAAATATTACAAAAAATGTAAATTAAAGAACAAGAACTTATTTCAATGTATAAAAAAATAAAAATGACAAAAACATAAATTTAAAAAAAATTACAAAAATTAAGCAAAATACGTCAAATCAAAATCCAAAATAAACAACTAAACAAATAAATATTTTACCAAAATACCCCAAAATAAAACCCAAAAATAAAAAATAAAAAATAAAAAAATTTAAACAAAATATGCCAAATGCAAACCTAAAATAAAAAAATAAAAAAAAAGGTTAGCAAAAAACGGCAACTCCAAACCGAAAATATATTAAAAAAAAATTAAAAAAGAACAACAACTATTTCGGACAGTTGGCTTGCTGACGTGGACGACATGGCCCTTGCAATTAAGGTAGATGTGTTTTGGGATGGGTACTTTGGTAAATTAACAAGAACACATATCACCAAAAAGTCAAAAAGTCAAAAAAGTCAAAAAATCATTCCCAAACCAGGCTTTTTAGCCCCAGACTAAAATAGCCAAAAAAGCCAAAAAATTAAAAAGCCAACCCACTTCCCAAACGGAGGCTTAATAGCTATTGAATTTCTAATTTCTCAATTTTCAACCAAAAATAAAAGAGGAGTCATATTTGCAAAACAAGTACTTTAAAATGACAAATGTTATATGTCATTAATTTTTTATTTTTTGTTATCACAATTTAATATCACCATCTACATGTAGGATTGCGAATGATTACTTTCTTTTTAAAAATAATAATTAAAAAATAACAATGAAGGTGAATAATATCCACTTATATATCATAGTAATATAGTTTTTAAAAAAAATAATAATATATAACAGTTTCAAAATGTCTATTACCCAGAATTAGTGTCCACAAATCTATTAGGAAAGAGAATGTAACGATTAGATTTAAGTTGGTCTTTTTGTAGGTTGAAACTAGGGGTGAGCATGGATCGGATTGGACCGGATTGGGATAAAATCAGGACCAATTCGTTATTTACGGTTCCTGAAAAATTGGAACCAATCCAATCCGTTTAAATCATGGAACCAATCTCAACGGCCGTGCTGCGCAGCTAGCCAGAGCGCTCCGCTCGCCAAGCTCAATGACGACCGAGCTCGGTTGCATTCCGGCTTAGCCGAGCTCGGGATAAGTCATGCTGGTTAGCCGTCGGCCTTCCTGCCGAGCTAACACATGAACCGTGGAACCCAGTGAGGCAGCGGACATCTCGGCCGAACCTCACTTGACCACTAGTACGACATCAATTATGCAACTATGCCATTACCGAGCAAGTAGCTCGGTTTCACAGCAACTGTGCCATTACCGAGCGAAAATCCTTTCTGGATGGACCCAGGCTGCCACGGCCCAAATGTGTTCGGCCCACAATTTGTCCAGCCCTTACCACGGGCCAATCCAAATCATAAATCTCCCTCAAGTCATGTTGACAGCTCAGTCTTTATTTTTATTGGGGAAATAAAAAAAGATATATGATTTAATACACACAGATATAACGTATCATCAAAATTTAAAGATTGAAAGTTTACAAATGGGTCATTATGAATTTTATGATCTAGACAAATTTTGAATTTAATATAAAAATTTGATGTTATGACTCATTTAATAGCTATTGAATTTCTAATTTTCTCAATTTTCAACCAAAAATAAAAGAGGAGTCATATTTGCAAAACAAATACTTTAAAATGACAAATGTTATATGCCATTAATTTTTTTTTTAATCACAATTTAATATCACCATCTACATGCAGGATTGCCAATGATTACTTTCTTTTTCAAAAAAAATAATTAAAAACTAACAATGAAGGTGAATAATTTCCACTTATATATCATAGTAATATAATTTTTTTTTAAATAATATATAACAGTTTCAAAATATCTACTCACCCAGAATTTGTGTCCAAATATCTACTAGGAAAGAGAATGAAAGGATTAGATTTAGGTTGGTGTTTTGTGGGTTGAAACTAAAGAATGAATCTCAACCACCCATTAATTTTTTTAAGTAAAATTCTAAATAAAATTTATAAATTTATAGTATTACTGATTTCTACTTCCCAATAATTTGTAAAATTTGCAATGCCAAAATGATCAAAATTAAAAGCTTGTAATTTTAAGAGCAATGAATAGGGGGGGAAAAAGATCATCAAACTTACATGTAGAAGTTGCTGTTGAGTTTCCCAGAAAGTCATATCAACTTCAACATTTCCAGTATTTTCTTTCTCCTCATCTTCATTGATGTCTTCATTCTCACCAAAATCATGGCTATCAGTACTGCCCTCGACCGGCTCTTCACTGTTTTCATCAAGAAATTCAAAAATAGTACCGGCCAATATCGTGGCGGATTCATCAGAATTCTCCGAGCCATAATTGTCAAACATCAAAATCCGGCGACTCATCGGAATTCTAGAGGTAGCTCCGGCCATGGCGTAAAACACTAAGTTCCAAAATAAGCTCTCGTTTTAGCCAAAGGGGTCTGGCATTGGAACAAATCAGCTAAGATTGGATTTTATATCCAGATTTTTTTTGTTACAGGAAAATTCTCCCACTCTCCCGCAGGTCCAAGGCAGCGCCCCTTGAGGAGATCACCAGGGTGTCCTGTTGTCCGTTCCGAGTAAGTGACTATAACCTGGAAGCTTGTCTTGGAGCTTGTCCCGACCTCCCAAGACAAGCTCCGCTTAAGTCAGGACTCGCACAGCGGGGGAGAATTAAACCCATACCAAGTAGCTGATAAGGCATCCTTGAGGTCAACCTCCTAACCAACTATGCTACGCCCAGGAGATTGGCCCAGAGAAGAGTTGAACCCAGGACCTAAGGGCTTAAACCCCAGTCCCTTACCAGGTTGCCACTCACCCCTAGGTTTTTATATCCAGATTAGTTAGTGGGACCATGTAAAATGTGAACGAGATGCCGCACACATGACAGCGAGGCTGTTTTCCACGCGTCATGCAATGATTTGACTACTGTATGAGGTTGTATATTTCTTTTTAATTTTTTTTTTAAAATTAAAAATTGTAAATAACGCTCCGCCTGTTTATATCAAGGAAAAAAATAATTTATAATAAAAAATATTATATTTGGTTGCGTTTTTAAAATCAATGTATTAATTATTGTATTAGTAGTGATAATAATGGCAATGATAAGGCGGAGGTGTTGGGATAGTAGTAACAATAGTAGTGGTAGTAGTGATGATAATAATAAAGTGAAGTTGGTAGTAATCGTGATAGAGGTAGAAGTGGAAGTGGTGGCGACAGTGGCGGTGGTGTTGATGGTGGAGGTAATGGTGATGGTAACAATGTGACGGAATTAGTAAAACTTAAGTTGCCTTTTAAAACTAAAAAATATTTTTTTTCCCCCCCAAATAAACTTGTTTTTGTTGTACCAAACACCTAAAAATGAAAAAAATATTTTCTGAAAAATATTTTCAGCCAAAACAAAAGGGGCATAAAAAAGGCATTTGGTGTTTATTTTTGTTTTCAAAATATTTTATGCAAATAACAAAATTTACTAAATTATTGTACTAGAAAAAGCTGAACTCATTTGTTTAAAAATAACAGTTCTGTTTTGTAGCTCGAATTTCATCTGACCCAAGTGGCTCGACTGCCCAAAACGACGTCGTTTTGGGCAGTGTTCTTTATTTTATTTTGCCTTTTCTCTGCAGATAGAGAAGAAGAAGAAGAAGGAAGAAAAAGAAGCAGCAGCAGCAGCAGGAGGGGGAGGAAGAGAGAAGAGGGAGCACATCATAGTTCTAAATCGTGGTATCGGGTAACGTAATGGTATCGATTACGGAGCATCAGTATCGGTAGTATCGACTGGTACGTATCGGGAATCGGGTATCGCGGCCGTGAAATTTTAAAAATCATTAACAATCCCTCTAAAACTCAATTTTATGCATTTTTTGACTCTGTTAGTCTTAATTTGTCACATTTTAATCAAAAATTTGATATGTAGGAACACTTTTAACTATTTTCAACTAAATGAAATGTATTTATTTTAGTCTCATTTTCAACATAGTAAGCTTTTGACAGATGAAGATTTTGTTTTCAATATTTATTTTTCTTGTTTTTTTTCTCTTGCTCAACTGAGAAAAAATATATATACATATATATTAATATAAACAGTGGCATAGATGTATAAACAACATAAAAACATTGGCTTAAAAAGGTGCAGAAATAGTGGCTTAAAAGATGCAGAAGAACAGTGGCCTAAAAAAGAAATTACGAAATAGAAAAATATAAGGAAAATAATAATAATAATAATAATAATAATATTGATATATGAAACAAAAATAGTAACAGAGTATAGAAGCTTGCAAGTTCAGCCTTCTGATATGTTACTATAGTAGCAGAGTATAAGGATAAACCTATAGTAACAGAGTATAAGGAAAACAAAGAAGCTTGCAAGTTGCATATTGGTGTGCTTGCCCAACAACAAAACAGAGCACAACAGCCCAAAGAATGAACTTGCAAAACAGAGCATAAAACTGAGCATAAAACATCACAAATTTCAAGAGGTTTTTCTGCTCTGCCTCAATTTCATATGTAACCGACGATTATTTTTGCTTTTGCTGAAGGTTCTCTACTCTAATTTCATCTGTACCGGCCATGGCAAATCCGTATCGGAACTGTATCGCTGCATGTATCGGATTCAGGTTGATACGTACCGGGAATCAGACGTTATAACTGCGAATTTCAGTCTCACCGGTATACCGGTCCATATCCATATCGGCACTCCAATTTTCTGGTACGAATCGTATTGGCCGATATTTAGAACTATGGAGCACATATCATCATCATCAACAACAACAACAAATAACACCAACATCAACAACATATCATCATCAACAACAAACAACACCACTTTGAAGATCAAAAATCAAATCCAAAAATCCATAAATTAAACCCAAAAATCAAAGAGATTGAAACCCAAAAATCAAAAATCAAAATCAACACATCATCATCATCATTATCATGGGGAAAAAAATCAGAGATCAGAGATCTCTAAAAAAAATATATCAAAATCAATGATGGAAAAAAAAAAAAAAGAGATTAGAGATCTCTGAAAAAAAAAATCAGAGATCGGAGGCCGGGCGGCGGCAAACAATAGGCGGTGCTCTCTTCCTCTCTTCCCCCTCCTTCTTCTCTCTTCCTCTCTCTTTCTCTCTCTCTATCTCTCTCTCTCTTTCTCTTTCTCTTCTTTTCTCTTCTCCCTTTGTTTCGACAATATAACAGGGAAGGAAAAAATAAAAAAATAAAAAAATCCTCAAAACGGTTGTTTTGAGGATTCGAGCCACGCGGGCCAAATTTTTGTCAAGCTACGAAGGATTATTGTAAAAATAATTTTTCATTTTATCATTCTTCTTTCACCCCTTTCATTAACCACCCATCGTTCATCATCACAATCATCGATCATTACATTTGACAATCCACATCTTCGACCACCACCATCAGCAACAGCAATAACCAACCATCTCTAAGTGCCATCAACTAACTCCGATTACTACCAATCACTCCATTTCTTACCCAAAGCTATTATCATTGAGCATTAACTTCGACAGCCGACGACTACTTCTAGCCATCATTTCTAATAGTCAATAATTATTTTTGGTCACCAGTTATGCTATGTAGCTCGAATTTACCCTTCCCCGAATAGCCCCGAAATCAAAATGACGTCGTTTCGTTGTTTTAATTTTGTTTTTTTCTTTTTTTTTCCCAGAAGAAGAAAATAAAAAAGAAGAAGAAGAAGAAGAAGAAGAGAGGAGGAGAGAGACGAGAGAGGAGAGAGGACCGAGACCAATATCAACCATTCATCTTCATCATCAACAACATCATCAGATCCAAAAAAATAAATTCAACCATCAGATCCAAAAAAAAAATCAACTATTCATCTTCATCATCAACATCACCATCATCATTATCAACACCAGCCAACAGTTTTATTTTTATTTTTTTCCCTTCATTTCAGATCAAGGAAAAAAAAAAATAAATAAATAAAATCGAGCTGGGCTACGACGATCGGAGGCGGAGGCAACCCTCTCTCTCTCTTTCTCTCTTTCTCTTTCTCTCACTCTTCCTCTTCTTCTCTCTGTGTTTCAAACATAAAGGAGGGAAGAAAGAAAGCAAAAAAGAAAGAAAAAAAGAAAGAAAAAAAGAAAAAAGGAAACTGCCCAAAACGACCGTTTTGGGCAGTCGGGGGATTCAGGGAAGGGAATTTTGAGCTACAAATCATTTTCCTTTGGTCACCACCTCCCACTAGCAACCAGCTCCTACAACTCCTCTCATGAATTTTCAAACTAAAATTTTCAAATGTTTTAAAAATGGATATAAACTTGATTAATGGTTTTTGAAAATAATAAATTGTAAATGTTATCAAACGTTACCTAAGGCCTCATTTGGTAACTTTATTTCCATCTTTTTCCATTTTTAAAATTGGAAATGAAAACTTGTTTGGTATATTATTATTATTTAAATAAAATTGATTCCAAAATTTTAATTTTTTTTCTAAATAAAAAATACATATATTCACTTCTTTTCAAAATAAACTTTCACTTTCTTTTCAATTTCCCACCACCTCCAGCCACCACTTATTGCCACCACCAACTACCATCATTAGTCATTAGGTTTAAAAACGAGCTTCAACCATCTTTCAATAACTCTGATCACCATTTTCGTTACCCGACAATCATATGATTTTTCACAATACTCCAATCAACAACCTTGGGATCCATCAATGCTGATCACCACATTTGTCCACCATTCAAAGGGGTGTAATTTTTGGCCGCGGACCGTAGGCGACCGAAGCCCGCCCGCGGCCCGAGGTGGGCCCGGCCCGTTAAGGCCTGAGCCCAAGCCCAGCCCGAGGCCTTGGGCCTAGGCCATCGTTTTGAAGCCCGGCCCGTAGCCCGCCCATGGGCCCGCTCAAGGCCCGCCCAAAAGCCTGGCTCGCCCAGCCCACCCGAGGCCCGGTGTTATTTTTAATGAAAAATAATAAAATTTTGGTAGAAAAAATTTAAAAAAAAAAAAAAATTATTTAGGCCCATCCAAAGCCTGAGCCTAGGCCCAAGGGCCCGGCCCGAGGCCCGGTCGACTAGCCCGTCCATAGCTCGAATACCCCTGGACTTGGACCTAATTTTTTGGCCCGTAGACCGGCCCGGCCAGGCACAATTTTTTAGGGAAAGCCCGCAAGGCCCGACATGGGCCGGGCCGGGTCAAAATTACACCCTTAACCATTCACCATCAACAACTACTTCTGTAAACTCACCAAACATATATATATATATATATATTTACTTTTCAAATTTGTTTAAACTAAAATAGGCTATTTATTTATTTTTTGAAAACGAAAACTTATTCCCTCTTTTTTTTCCCTTTTAAACAGAAAATATGAAACTGTAGGAACGGTAATGCGGCCGGCATTGTGCCTGTTTGGCAGAAATTATAATCAGCTTATTTCAGTTTTCAACTTAATTTAAGCTATTTTGATGTGTTTGGTTTAGCTTATAGCTTATAGCTTTTTAGAAGTTAGAAATCAGCTTATTCTTTGAGTGGGGTAGGAGATGCTTTAAGAATAAGT